ATTAAATATATTTCACCTTATCATTACCTATTTTATGGCAAAATTCGACAACACTACAACGTAGTCGAACGTCAGGGCCGGCTCCAGGCTAGGACGATCCGGGCGGCCGCCCGGAGCGCAATGATCTAGGGGCGCCAAAGTATGTGGTGAGACTAGATCGGCTATAATCGGGTGGGATCAGCTGACGACATGTAGAAGGGACACATAATTTGATTTTCTTTTACTATACGGAGAATGGTCGCACTGCGCAGCTTTCTGAGTGCCTTTTAAAAGGAGATAGAAAATTCCGCCATTTTGATCCCTTATTACGTGTTGCCTACATCTTGGTGCAAAATGTTTAATAGGTGCGTTTTAATCATCCGCTTCTGCTTCGGAATTGTCTGTTTTCTTGTTTTAATCTGACAGGTTAAAACGAATAAACCAACAATTCCGGAAGCAGAAGCGGATGATTAAAACGCACCTGATATTTTGCTTGTTGCTGTCACTGTCAGTAATTATTATTTGTCGAGTCACAGTTAATTGCTAAAGAATCAGTTAGCTCACTCGGGCCAGTTGAAAGTTCCAAAATAACATACGTTCCAGGGATACAAATTTAGGATGCGCAGAAGACTGCTGTTTTATTATAGGTGGTTGTCATATATTGTATTATCCGAGTTGCGCAGTATATAAACTGGAAGATTGAGATCAAAAGTGCCGACACAGAGTGAGCGATCTGATTCTTTAGCTATAAACTGTGGCATAGGAATCAAAATGGCCGCGCCCTATGTTGGGCGTGTCGGACCTCTCTCTTGCACCGTATAGTTATCAAAGTATGTGAGAAGGGAACGTAACTTGAGATGCAAATAGGCGCAAAGCGAGAGGAAAACAGGGTTGTAACCTCGTTAGGATCAAGCCGGACTAAAATGTTATATTTGTGCGGTTTGCATACGCTCACCTCGATTCTTAGCGAGATTATTTAAAATATCAGTATATGCGTACTGTTCATATTGCAATTTTAGAAAAAATAATGTTATGGTAAGATTAATTTTTGTGTTCCTGGATATCTACCTGTTAAAAATTTTATGTGCCTTTTAACTACTTGTGCGATGCATCTGGATTTGCCTCGGTCTATCGCAATCCTGATTCAGTTCAATGCCACGTTGTTCGGGACTAGGGCGATTAAAGACGGTTGGGGTTGTATCCATCCGCCCTGTGAAAGGTTTTGCGAAAATGTCTTGGTTTATGAGCTTACAAGATCGAGCTGGTGCAACAACTGAAGCCGTGTGACCATCATGCGCGTCCTACGTTCGACGAATGGGCCAAAAACAAAATTTTTATTGATCCTCTTTTTAACCAAAAAATTTTGCCAAGCGATGAGGCGCATTTTTGGCTGAATGGGTACATAAATAATTAAAATTTACGGATTTGGATTGAAGAAAATCAATAACTTGTATTAAAACGCCGTTACATCCAGAAGGAATGTCTATTTGGTGTGCTTTATGGGCTGGTGGGATCATTAGCCCATATTTTTAAATATAATGCAGACCAGAACGTTACAGTCAATGGAGAGCGGTATAGATCCATGTTTACTGACTTTCTTGCTCCTCAGTTGAATGGCATTAATGTAGAAGCGCTTTGGTTCCAACAAGACAGCGCCACATGAACACAGCGCACGACAATCAATTTATTGAGCGATGAATTTTGCGCAATAGACCTTTGAATTGGCATCCGCTGTCGTGTCCTTTCACACCTATGGATTGTTTTCTGTAAGGATATGTAAAGTCGCTAGTCTACGCCGATAAACCACCGACATTTGGATTTCCGGATTGCGTTGTATTCGAGAGGGCCGCGGCGCCCATATGCCCGAGGTCTTATTTAAGCACTAATGGCATATCATCACCTTTCCAATAAAGCCAATACCATGCCCGTTATTTCATTGCAATGTTGTATACCTCTAAAAAAAAAACAACCTTTATATTTTATTGATTTATTGGTCATTATTTAATTAAAATTTTTTAGACTTCCATCAAATCTATTTTAATCTCTATTAATTAGTGCATTCAACCGAAACTTTGGTGTATGTAATATTATTTATTCACAATGCCAGACATTTCTCGGTACTTCAACACCAAGGTTACATTTACCTATGTTGACTATATTATATTTAATTCAGACGTATTTGAAGTACTGAGTTTACCTCAACCTAAATTTCATTTAGAATAATAAAAATAATTATGAATGTCTGCTGTAAATACCTGATTATAACATAAGAGATATTTCGTTTATTTTTAATACCTAGTTTTGACTGTAAATGGTGAATAATGTAACCACGACAAATTTTAAAAGAAATAAAAATAAGTTTATGCAATACATCATATTTTTATACTGAATATTTGGTCATTAAAATTCTAATTGCCTCGTTTTTTTAATAAAAATTGGTTAAAATATACAATATTGCCAAATTGTAAGAAAATAAAAAATACGAGTTAAATTTAACGACTAATATTTTTTCAAGGTAAAACTCAGAATCGATACGTAAGTAATTAACATTTTTCATAACAAAATGGCCAATATTAATTTTTATTTATCAGGTACAAATTACCCTAGCTCATAAGTTCGCATTAATAATCATGGAAATTGTTACACTTTTTTTTTAAATTTATTGTGTTTCTGGCACTCTCTAGGTCAGATATTTTTGGTAATAATTAATTATTTGTTCAGGTTGCGACAACATTGTCCAACTGGCATATTACACATTGCTACCCGATTGGCGCGCACGCCGGTCCGATCGGGACGGCCGCTGGCTCGATCGGCGCAGACTCCGGCTCGATCGGGCAGCCGTTGGATCTATTGGGTCAGCCGCCGTATCCAAGGTAGTCGTTGCCTCGATTTAAATAAGTCGTCAGCTAGATCGGACCACCTGGCTTCTGCTCCGGTTTAATAGAGGCAACCGTTGGCTCTATTTGTGCCTTTATCTTAGCCGAGTCGGCCGTGGGCTCACTTAATCACTTAATAGTGGGACGTCAGGTGATGAGTTGCAGGCCCCAAGTGTCAACTAAGACAAAGTTGATATTCTCTACCATCCGTTTTTTTTATTATTTTCAGATGATATCTGCTATAAAGACACTTGCAGAATTGGCAGAAATCATACCAAACGATCAAGCGGACGCTATTATTTTGGGACGAATGAGAGATCTAGCCGATTTTAAGCTTCCTGAAGGTTGGCAGCGATGGAAAGCTGGTGTTTATACTGCAACAGAGCTTCTTAGGGTCGACTATTATGTTCAAGTTTTGAATAAAATTATATTCGGTCTCCCAACAGTAGGACTGGTTCAAGCCTTCCATCCCACTGCAACTAGTCTCTCAGAACGTACGTACGTACAGAGATATGAAAATTTGGGAGACGAGGAAGAAGAAGACAATATTGATGAACTATTTAATTTTGACTTTGGTCTTACAACAAAAGAGCAGGAGCCGGCCTTACCACCTCCAAAACTCCATATACAAATGAAGGGAATTGAGTGTCTTAGACTGGGTAAACCTGCGTTTAATAAGGTACGTTATTTAGACGTACAGAAAAAACTGCAAGCTTTCCCGGTGTTTAGCGCTTTGAAAGTAAATGAGCAGATTTCCCATATGTGTGAACCGGATAGATCCTTACAGGATCAGATGGCAAAAATGGATTGGACACTAGGTACAATCCTACAGGGACTTCTGCTTCAAAGAGATTAATTTTCTGATTCGATGAATACCCTTATTAATATTCACCAAGTTGTTAAGAAAGATGTTCAACGCCTTTTAGTGGCTTCTGAATCGTCATTTAGATCGCTCTCAGACGATGTTTTACAATATGTATGTGGCCGTAGGGTGGAATTTATCGAGCAGAGGCGAAGGGCATTTACTCCACGTAATGCTCAAGTAGCATCTTTGTTAGATTTCATACCACCATCATCCACTCATCTTTTTGAAACAGATTCTCTAGCGGATTTGACTAAATGGGGATTCCTTTCGTCCCTTGCGTGCCTCTTTCAAAAAGACTCCAAGACGCATCACCTCAAACCAAACAGACAGGCGAAAACGAGCAAACCATTTTTTAGTGGAAAATTCCTCACCACCAAAACAAATTCGTCTTCACTCGAATGGAAAGACTATTCCGCAAGAGATTCTGCTACCCAAAAAAGATCATTATTCTTCAACAAAAACGAAATATCATCATCTAAATGGTCAAAAAAATGTTGACAACTATCAATCGTTTAGGGCAGGGCAGCTAGCAAATTTTATAATGGAATGGAAGAGACTGGGAGCACCAGAACAAATCCTGGAAACAATACGTGGTTATTCAATTCCATTCGTCAGAAAACCGCTAATAAGGTTTCTCTTACGGGATGCACCACGCAATTTCTCCACGATAGGTATGGACATGGAAATAAAAAATATGATCCAGCAGGGCGACCTAGAGAAATCAAATTGTTCAACAGGGTTTTTGTCACGAATGTTCCCAGTTATAAAATCAGACGAGTCAATCAGACCTATTTTCAACTTGCGCGCTCTGAACAGATTTCTAAAGCCAAAGAAATTTCATTTAATAAATTATCAAAAGATTTCCTTATTTCTAGAGGAGAAGGATTTTATGACAAAAATAGATCTCTCGTAGGCATATTTTCACATTCCGATCAAAGAAAGATATCGAAAATTTCTTTCAATGGTACACGAAGGACCAATTTATCATATGACTTGTTTACCCTTCAGCCTATCGAGTGCGCCTCTAGAATTCTCCAGGGTATCAAATTGGGTTGCCGATCAACTTCGAAAGAAAGTTGTTTACCTCGACGATTTCCTTCTAGCTCATCAGGATCCCGAAATACTTCGTCTACAAACCGAGCAAACCGAGCAAGCTATATCATTTCTAAAAGAACTGGGGTGAAAAATAAACGAAACAAAGTCAGTGATCATAACTCTAAATCAGCAAGAATACTTGGGGCTCAAATGGGATACCCAAGATGGTATAATATGTCTTCCAGAAAAAAAAGAAGAACTCTATAAGGAAGGACTTACAAAACATAATAGATCATCAACAGTGGAACTGGGAAATAGCCAAGAGGGTATTGGGAAAAATGAACTTTGCTATGTTCGCAATCCCATTGGGACGATTGCATTTAAGGAATATGCTGAAACTAAGCCTGAAACTCCCAGAGGTCCACCCGAAATTGAATTTCAAGATACCGAAAGCAGTGAGAGCAGAATGTCAATGGTGGTTAATAAATATGGACAAAACGTCACTGTTGTTTCAAAAGAACCCGGAGATGTTTATTTCGACCGAGGAGAACGAGAGAAGGACGACGACGATATTAACCAAAAATTTGGTATGTGGATGTCACCCTCAATTCAAAAGTTATTCGAAATATGTACCACCAATTAAAATTTAAAAAAATGGATCTAATTATTGTGTCATAGAAAGAATACACATTTGACAAAAATTTCAAAATCTTGGATTAGAAAAGTTATTACGAGCCTGGATTGCCCTTGAACGTGTTTTAATAATGCAAGTCCCTTTGTTGTGCCGACAGAGAAAGAATATCTAGTCAAAATTAGAAAAAATATGTTTTATGTAATTCGTTCATGTTGAGAGACCTAGCTCTGATCGTCCCGCAAATATTTACTTGTTGCATAAAATAGGGCATTTCGCAACTGGTTTCATAAATAGTTATTACAAAATCGGATGGTACTTTTATACCATAGATATATAACCAAGACAGATGGGATTATTTACAAAATTTTTGAAGAATGAACGGTGGTGTCCGCGGTAGAAACTCAATAATCGGATTGAATATTGATGCCAAGTTTACGTGCTTTTAACTATAGATATATATAACCAATACAGATTACACAATTTCTGAAGTCAACGCGGATGATCCTCGACAGAAATGCAATATTTGGATAAAATTAAAATATTGATGCCAAGTTTGCGATGTTTTTAACTGTAGTAATGTTATTGCGTTTGCTTGAATTACTGTAAGGTCTTTAAATTGTCCAAAAAAAAATAATGTCTGACAACAGCGGAAGTAGAGTAGACCGCAATTGTGGAGGGTCGTATATTGTTTCATTCATAAAAATTCCTTCGATACAGTACTAGTCCAGGAGCCAGTGATTTTTTTCGTACTTGTTTTCCCGGTCCGTGTATATTTAAATAATCTATTCCCGGTGAACTGTATATTTAAAATGGAACGCCAATCTATTAACAAAAGTAAGCCAGATTGAATTCGCGCATTACGTCACATCGATACAAGTGAGATTGTTTACAAAGTGCCTTTGCAGGCCTATTTTGCCCATTTCATGTATTTGTTTTTAAATCATGTTAAATTACTATTTTTGAAACTCAACAAGGAGAAAATCAAATTAACTCTTCCGTTGTGTATATATATATAAGATAAATTAACTGAAGTTTTATTAGTAAAGTATTAATACTAAAATGTTAATGTAATTTACAGAAAATAGCTAGGTATGTATTTGTTTTTAAATAATTTGATAATTTATGAAAAAAGGGAGTAAAAGTGGAATGACCAGTGGCCAGTAGGTCAGTCAATACAAAGTATCATATATTATAACATAACTAAAATACCTACATCTTTTAATCATAAGGACATAAGTTAAAAACCATTTTAATATATGCATTAGAATGAAGTAATAATAACTTAAAGAGACGAGGTCTTAAAGTAATAGCTGGTACAGCAAGTTTTTTAAACGTTTCCTCATTGCTGCTAGAATGAAATCACTTACTATGAAATGTGCTCTAAAAACGGCATTTATAGCAGTCAGTGTTCAGTCTTAGGATCTCTTCCTAAAGCCCTCATCCAAGCTGCATACTTACATATTAAAAATAATTTAAAAAAAAACATATTATATACCTATATAGTTTTCGGTTCTGGGTGCCCTAAAAGAGGACACTTAGCCGACAATTTGGCTCAGATAGCTAAAACCCAAAAGTCACACCCCGAACCAGGACGTATTGCTATTCTTTTAAGTAAAAAATAACTACAAATAACTTACCTGAAAAATGAAGGCGTCTAACTTTACACCAAAAAAACCATACACTTTTTCCCATTGTTGCAAGCACCCGATGACGATTAGGTAGATATCAACAAGAAGCATGTACTTAATGGTTATAAAGCTTATTTTAACACAAAAAGAATAAAGCACTAGTCGAAAAGCAGCAATCAAATATAAATAGACCACAATATTAAAATTCAAATTAAAAACTATATAAAAGACAAATACTCTAAAAGCGCAAACGATCAGAACCAAATAAAATGAATAACCATAATAACCTAAAAATCACACTAAAATTGCAAAAACTATTACTGTAAAATCATGAGATTACATTAATAATGCATATGCGTCGAAGTATCGCAAATGTCAAAAGTACAGTGTTTCCATTAAAATTTAGCTATGTTTTAGCAGTATTATAGGACCATTTCTACCACGCGCATCCAACGATATTGGCGTTCCACAGTTCACTGTATTTTCCTCACACCTCTAGTATAAATGATTTGACATAACGAAACTAACAATAATTATAATTAATGTAGAGTAATAAGTGATTCGTGAATTCTAAATAAAACAATTATTATATAAAAGTGTAAAAGGAAATGTAATTTATTTCCCTAGTTTCTTCTGTAATATGTTTAATTTCTATAAATAAACCAACTGGTTAGGTGAAACATTGTGATATAAGATTGTATATATGTGTCCTATGCGTACACTTTAATATACAAAACACCTGGATTATTCTTTAAATAATTGTGGTCGTAGAAATAATTGTGTACATAACTCGTTTGAAAGTGTATTTTATGCACTTGCCAAATATATTATCCATACAGATTAATCAGACTATTTTTTTACTTAACTTCAGTACATCTCTTACTACTAAAACTATTTTTATCAATGGAAAAAAAGGGCCGTGTTCTCGTATGTTTTGACGCATTTTCGGCCTCAGCCCATCGGATTCCCCCTCTAAATATATATGAATTTTGCTTAGAATTGCTAATCCTACAATTCTCTATTCGTGCTTGCTGACTGGGAAAATAAATACCGAAAATCGTCACTGTCTCCTGGACTATACAATAGATGATGATGAGAACTTCATAACAAATACACTTTTATGAATGGCTAGTTGGGGATGTGTTTTATACCATGAAGTTGTAAATTATTGTAGTACTCACTATTATCATTTCCACCTTTATTTTCAATAAGCATCGAAGTGCAAATATTGCAATTAAGTTTTTTTTTAAATTTTATGAGCGGTATAACCACAAATGTATATTTAGGCCTTAATTTTGACGTAATAAATAATCTATATTCGAAAATAAAAGTAAGTAGTATTTCGTCCATAAATTGACCGAGATGAAAAGTACAAAGACAACTATGTTGTTATTTGTTAGTAGTTCTAAGAAATCAATATGTTCAAAAATGACAACTTTCTTTAATAGATATTTCAATTACTCTCTTTATGGTCCACCCCTTATAAATATTGTCTAGTTAACATAAGAACAACTATTTTATCATTCAATCAGTACATTACATTACCAAATTTAAAATTTTTACTGAAATCAAAGCCAACCCTGGCAGCAGTAAATACAGCGTAACCGATTTCGAATTCCAACAAAAATATACTTTTTCTACACCCGTATTATAATAATGCACTTATATGCCCATAATCCGTTTCATAATGATACCCATTATGATACAGATTTTTCATTACGATACAGATTTTTCATTACGATACAGATTTTTCATTACGATACAGATTTTTCATTACGATACAGATTTTTAATCAATAGAAACCTACAATTTTTCAATCAAGCATGCTGTTTGACGTTTGTCCTAGGTTCCTATGTATTTGTTTTAGTTGTCAAAACGTATTAAATTTTGGTAGATAACTAAACTTCGTTAATTATAATATTAAAATGTCTGATATCAGCGATATAGAAGACTCCTCCACACATATCGGAGAAAGCAGAAAATACAGTACAAAATATTTTGCCGCAAAAATCTAGGGAAATACCAATACCCGAAGTAATACCATTAATTACAATTTTGTAGAATTTTTTATAGAAATACACGAGTAATTATTGTTATTGTGTTCAATACCAATATGAATATAATATTTATAGTTCTTGATTATTTATCGGGTGTAGAAAAAATAGCGTATGCAACTCTCATGTAATGGTTATTACATGATCGTTGCATAATATACTATTGCACTTGCAACATATTTGCTATACTCTGTTTTTAAACTAGAAGGAGCGAATTAAAAAGACGCATTTACACAGGGAAAAGTAACTAGAATTGTTACTAAGAGCGAGTTTCGAAATATAGTCGTGTTCAAAATTTATGAAATAATTATCTTTGTCGGCCTTAGTCGGTGAACGGCAATGAGCGGTTAAGAAACGAATAAATGTCATAGAAGTAATTTTTTGATTGGTCCCAGACAACGGTCGCAAATTTCACATTATTGTGATCTGAAATGTGTGTCTAAAACGAAATGTCACTGTCAAATTAAAGTCAATATGGTTGTTGATTGATGTCAGAAATACTTTTTTCTTGCTTTTGAAATCGACTTTTTGAGAATAACTTTTTAAAATGGACATTAAATATTTAAGAAAATTGTTAATGGAATATCTAGATGTAGCCAGGTTAGTATAAAATATAAAGATCTGTTTACATTTTTAAGGATATATTTGTTATAGGTATAAAAAGTAAAAGTTAATCAGTGAATGACAAGTGGATCACACAGTAACTGGTATCTCTTCTATGAGTAATGTGGATATTATGGCTTATTTAGTGTTAACCCATGGTTAATGCGCTAGAGGGCAAATAAAGGCATTCAAAAGTTTACAGGCCTATGAGTCATAATTTGTTTTGGAAACTGGAACCAACATTTTCATAACACTACATGTCAACATATATTTTTTAAAGTGAACTATTCATACATACCTATGTATTAATTTTAAGTATATTTAAAATATTTTTTGTAAAAGTAATGTTAACTCATTGTGCCAAATTAAGATTATCCCTAAAGTAGTAGATGGTGTTTTAAATGTTATAACAATTTTGTAAATAGTTTTATTCTATTCTAATAAATAAAATTTGTTTGAATAGTTACATTTTAATCATTTTGGTTAGAAATTCATCAATTTTTAGTTTTAAAAAATCAGTAATAAAATTATATTTTTCTAAAATACTTC